GGCAGGTGGGGGCTGAGAGAGTCCTTGAGAGAAACTGTGACTGGCCCAAAATCACCAAGCAGGCTTCACGTGGAGCGGGGGCGGGAACCAAACCCAGCTGTCCAGATTAGAAGAACAGTTGGTTTTTATAGAACAAAGTTTGAGTCCAGCGGCACCTTTAAGACCAACAACCCAGAATTAAACTTTGTTGGTCCTTCGAGGTGCCACTGGACTCAAACTTTGTTTTGTTGCTTCAGACAAAGTTTGGACAACTCAGAATTAAACTTTGTTGGTCCTTCAAGGTGCCACTGGACTCAAACTTTGTTTTGTTGCTTCAGGCCGACACGGCGACCCACCTGAATGTATCTTCATAGCTGGTTTTTATTCCCCGCTTTTCCAAGTTGCCTTCCTTTCCCTTCCCCACAACAGGCATCTTGTGAGGCAGGTGGGGCTGAGAGAGTTCGGGGAGAACTGGGACTGGCCCAAGGCCACCCAGCTGGCTTCATGTGGAGGAGAAATCAGGAATCAAACCCAGCTCGCCAGATTAGAGTCTGCCGCTCTTAACCACCCACAGCACTTTGTAGAACCTGCAGAATGGAACAGAGGCAGGAATCTGGACGGAACGTCTGAAGAATCTGTCTCCAGAAGCATCATTTTAGAAAACTGACACCAGACACCTGTCATTTGTGGATTTGAACGGGGCAAGGAGATGCTTTTTATCACTGTCCTGGCCTAAGGAGCCCTCGTGGAGCTCAGAGGATCGTACAAGCTGCTTCAATGTGGCTGGTTCCTGGGGGGCATTTTAATTTCCCAACCTGCCCCTGGATAAATAGCTTCCACACAACCACCTCCCCCTCTCCCCTTGATTCAGATCAGGGGATATACTGTCACCCCACTGTTTCTCTCTATAAGGGAGTGAGGCTGTTGGCACCCCTTTTTTCTTGGGCAAAAGCACCATCCACAGGAGGTAAGCACTGCAATTTGCAGAGCAGATTTGTAGGCGATTCCGCCTTATTTTATCTTGCAAAGTTACCCATAAGGAGAAGGGGGGTTCCTATAGCACTGTCATAGGTCAGTCTGTGCTGAGTGATGGCTCAGATTTCTCTGATGAAGAGCTACCTGCTGGCCCTGAGCCGGTAATTGAACAGCCGGCTGCAGCTGGCTCTGAGCCAGAAGGAGTAGAACAAGAGATCAGGTTGCCAGCTGAAACTGAGCCAACCCCTTGTAGCTCTGAAGCAGTAAACTTCAGCAGCCACTCCCAGCCCATCTAGCTCACCTGCACCCTTGCAGGGCCAACGCTGTCACAGACACTCAAAGTTGCAAGAAAGGAGGAGTGCGAGACTTATGGCCTGTCGTCAGCTGTCAACTGAAGAGGTGACTGAGTAGTTTCAGGATGACTGCCAAGGAATTGGCTGGCAGTTTAGCTCGTTAAGACCTGGCTATAAATTCATCTGGGAGAAGCCGCAGTTTGTGGATGCAAGAAGTATGCTTTGCTACTGAGCTGTCAGCCTTGCTCCTACTGGACTTTGGTGACCGTAAACTGGACCTGACAACTGGCTTTTCCGGAACCCCTGACCATGGACTGGACTTGCTTCCTGGAAGTCCTTGATTGGACTTTGGTAAACCTGCTCTCTGGAACCCCTGACTTTTGGACTGGACTTTGGTCACTCTCTGCAGCCTTGCCTGTGACCTGCCCCGCTGGACCCCAACCCGTGCCTCTTGGGGAAGCTCCCTCAGTACAAGCACAGAACTGTAGCAACTGGCCGTGTCTACCCTACAGGTGACTGAGCACGGGGTGTTTGGTCACATGCTCTCCACATCTCTACCCCCCCTCCCCCAGGCCCCCTCCCACATCCAAGGTAAAGGTTTCTCTAGCTCAAAAGCCAGTCGAATCTGACTCTAGGGATATGGTGCTCATCTCCGTTTTGAAGCCGAAGAGCCAGCGCTGTCCAGAGACGTTTCCGTGGTCATGTGGCTGGCATGACTAGATTCTGAGGTGCACGAAACGCTGTTACCTTCCCACAGAAGCGGTACCTATTTATCTACTTGCAATTTCTTGCTTTCGAACAGCTAGGTTGGCAGGCGCTGGGGCCAGAGACGGGAGCTCACGCCATCACGCGGCACACTCGTGTCTCGAACTGCCAAACTACACAGCCTGCAGTTCAGCGTCTCGACCACTTGAGCCACCCCGGCCCACATCCAAACCCCTCCACAAAGGACTGTGCCCGCAGTTGTCGAGACCCAAAGAGGGATTTAGGTATTCTTTAATCTGCACAGGTATCGCAGCATAGCAGATCGTGGCTCTCATACAAGTGGGTGGAAACCTTAAAGCCCTTAAGTGCAACGGAGTGATTTCACTGGAAGGGTGAAGTCAGAGTGCACATACGAAAAATCACAACGAGAAATAATATCGGGAGCACCAGAAACAGTTAAATCACATTGAAATCAAGTAGTTATGTTGAAATGATGATTTTTAAAAATAAAATAAAATAGCTACTGGAAAGTTAAGCGAACCGATCCAGCAATTTGGGGAGTGGATCTCATAGGGATGCCAGCTTCCAGGTGGGACCTGGGGATGCTCCAGAATTAAAGCTCATCTCCAGACCCCTGGAGAAAATGGATGCTTTGGTGGGTGGAGTCTGTAGCGTTGTACCCCACGGAGGCCCCTTCCCTCCCCGGGCTCCACCCCCAAATCTCCAGGAATTTCCCAACCTGGACCTGGCAATCTTTCCCTGGTGGCCAGGGGAAGACCTGCAAACTCTAACCATGGCTGGCTGTCTCTGGTTGGAACTGAGACAGGGCTGTTCCGTTCCCTTTGAGCAGACGTGTAGGGATTTGGATTCCTGAGAATTCTGGTACCCATTTGAAAGAAAAAAAGAAGTACAAAGTTCAGCCCCCTTGAAAGGCTAGAGGAACCGACAAGCGTCTCAAGCCGATTTGCAGATGGACCTGAGAACATCCTGAGCCGGCTTTAGACCAAGTCAGTCCATTGGTCCGTCCAGCCCCATAAGGACTACTCTGATTGGTGGTGGCTCTCCGGGGCCCCGGGGCAGAGAAACTGTCCCCCAATGCCTGCTCCTTGGGACTTTGACGCTGGATAGGCAGGGGGTTGAACCTGAGACCTTCTGCACACGTGTAAAGCATACGTTCTACCCCTGGGCTAAGCCTGTTTGGGAAGTGAGGAATTAACATAAGAACATAAGAGACGCCAATGTTGGATCAGGCCAAAGGCCCATCCAGTCCAACACTCTGTATCACACAGTGGCCAGAAATACCAGGTGCCACCAGGAGGTCCAGCAGTGGGGCCAGGACACTAGAAGCCCTCCCACTGTTGACCCCGCCCCAAGCACCAAGAAGACAGAGCATCCCTTGCCCCAGAGCCCCTATCTATGCCTTGTGGCTAAGAGCCACTGATGGACCTCTGCTCCATATGCTTATCATATTAATTCCCATTCCCATGGCGGTGTGCAGTCTGGTGGCTGGGAAGGTCTGAGGCCACAGCCATCTAAGTGCCAGAGATCTGTGCCCCAAGGGTGCCAGCCTCCAGGTGGGGCCTGGAGATCTCCCATGATTTTAACCGTCATCTTGACCACAGAGATCCACCCCCCTGGTGGAAACAGCTGCTTGGGGGGGGGGGGCTCAGTGGCACTATACTCCAGGCTCCACCCCTAAATCTCCAGGAATTTCCTAACCTGGAGCTGGCAACCCTAGCTGCCCCTTGATTGTGAGATATCCCCCCCCCAGCATATACACCTCCTAGTTCCAAGCAGGGGCAGGAGATGAGTCTGGGGGCTCGGCCCTTTGGGCGAGAGAGGTAACTGTGGGCCTCCCGGGTCAGAGGTCTCTTCTCCCCTTCCGCTCCATTCACCACCCGGTTCTTTCTCTCTCTCCTCCCCATTTCATCCAGTGCTGCCCCTAGTGGAAATTCAGAAGCGGCGCAGCTCTGCTTGGCCCCACTCCTGGAACGAAGTGACCAGCTCCTTCCCTCCCCCCCCCCCGGGACTTTGGGGTGGGCCTGAAATAGGGTTACCAAGTCCGTTTCTCTTTGCAGAGGGCGGCTCAGATGGCTGTGGCCCCGCCCCCAGCGTGCCTGGCGTCATCACGTCACATCCGGCTGATGTGCACGCTGGGGTGGGGTTCCCCCCGGGGCCCGATTCCGCGGCGGCGGAAATCGGGCCTCCAAAGCGGGGGATTATCCGCCCCCCGGGGGGACTTGGCAGCCCTAGCTTGAAACCTTTCGATAGAAGGGCCCCGCAAGGCTCCCTCTAAGCTGCGGAGTCCTGTGAGCAAAGATTCCACTTTGCGAGCTACCGGCATGAAAGCTGTGAGTGAGCGATCTGGCTCCTGCATCAATTAGTTTGCTCTGGAGCCCTCCTTCCTGAGCGAAGGGGAAAAACGTGTGAGCCGGAGGCTGAAAAACTGTGAGCTAGCTCACACCAACTCAGCTTAGAGGGAACACTGCCCCCCCCCCCACACATACACTGTACAACCCTCTCCCATTTCTCTGGCTTTCCCAAGAACTGGGCTCCGCGTGCAAAACTGTGTCTTCTCCACCAAACCCTCTACGATGCATAGAAGAGCAGGGACTAGGAGGTGGTGTTTTTCCCTTTGCACCAACAGCCAGGGAGGAGGGGTCCCCATATAATTTGAAATGTTGGCACGCTGGGTCGCTTAAAGGCCTCTGGGTCCCTGACTTCATTCGGCTTAGGCCAAGGGTCCCCCAACGTGGGGGCCGTGGGGCCTGCCAACACCTTTCCTGGTGACTGCCAAGTGTTTGTAGAAAGCGGGCGGGGCCAGATGGGGCTTTTGCCTAGCAAGGCTTCTGATTGGCTGTGCAGATTTTTTTTTTAATTGCTTTGGTAGGAGCTGCCCCCACAGCACAAGGGTCTTCACTGAGTGATTGAAGATGAGCTGCAGCTGCCGTTTTGTGGCTGGCTCCGCCTCCTGCAGCCGCCATTTTGTGGCTGACTCCCCCTCCTGCAGCCGCCATTTTGTGGCTGGCTCCACCTCCTGCAGCCGCCATTTTGTGGCTGGCTCCGCCTCCTGCAGCCGCCATTTTGTAGCCGCACGCACTGTGCAATGTCAGAACTCCAGTGGTGTCTACAGGCTCAAAAAGATTGGGGACACCTCACTTAGGCAATGTCTGGATCCGGCCACACCTCTCCGGCCTCCAAACACAAGCGATCCAGAAATCTAAATGAGGACATTAAGGCTTGTGAATGGAGTGCCGTGACGCCACACGGGCCGAGGTACACATGTGTGCATCTAGGAGCTGACTTGAGCTCTCTTTGGAGTGGGCGGCCCTGAGTTCAGCCACCCCCCGGAACACAAAGAAGACACTGGAAACGGTCGCGTTTCGCCGCAGTGCCAGAAGTGTGCCAAGACGGGGCGGTATGGCTTGGCTAGGACCCCAGGTGAGCGGCAGCGCCCAGGGCCGGCGAGGTCAGGTTCTTGACGATTCGGCCGAGGTTGGCGATCTTCTCCTCCAGCAGGTAGTTCTTCTTCTCGGCCGTCTTCTGCCTCTGCTCCGTCATCTCCAGCGCTTTCAGCAGCTGCGTGTTCTCCACGTACAAGTCCTTGACCATTTCGTCCGCTTTTGTGTTCTTCATCACCTGGGACAGAGGGAGAAAACATGGGTTCCCCTGGCAGAGTCTATAAGAACAGAAGAGAAGCCATGTTGGATCTGGCCAAGGGCCCATCCTGTCTGACACTTTGTGTCACACAGTGGCCCGAACCCAGGGGCCATCAGGAGGTCCACCAGCAGGGCCACAACACCAGGAGCCCTCCCACTGTGGCCCCCCCAAGCCCCAAGAAGACAGAGCATCACTGCCCCAGACATTAGAACATAAGAGAGAAGCCGTGTTGGATCAGGCCAATGGCCCATCCAGTCCAACACTCTGTCACACAGTAGCCAAAAATACCAGGTGCCATCAGGAGGTCCACCAGCGGGGCCAGAACTCCAGGAGCCCTCCCACTGTGGCCCCCCAAGCACCAAGAAGACAGAGCATCACTGCCCCAGACAGTGTGCTCCCCCTATACCTTGTGGCCAATAGCCACTCATGGACCTCTGTTCCAGATCTTTCTCCAATGAAGAAGAAAGAGGAGGAGATTGGATTTATACCCCACCCTTCACTTGGAGTCTCAGAGCGGCTTACAAACTCCTTCCCCTTCCCCTCCCCACAACAGACACCCTGTGAGGTGGGCGGGGCTGAGAGAGCTCTGGCAGAAACTGCTCTCTTTCGAGAACAGCTCTGACAGAACTATGGCTTGCCCAAGGTCATCCAGCAGGTGTGAGTGGAGGAGTGGGGAATCAAACCGCTCTCCAGGGTCTCAGGCAGAGAAAGGTCTTTCCCATCACCTGCTGCCTGGTCCTTTTTAACTGGAGATGCCGGGGATTGAACCTGGGACCTTCTGCATGCCGAGCAGAGGCTCTGCCACTGAGCCACAGCCCCTCCCCCAAACACACACAAAGCTGCCTTCTACTGAATGAGATCCTCGGTCCACCAGGTCAGTCTTGTCTACTCAGGCTGGCAGCCGCTCTCCAAGGTCTCAGGCAGAGAAAGGTCTTTCCCATCACCTCCTTTTAACTGGATGTAGTGTATTCAAAGCTGCCTTGAATGCAATGTGTGAACGTCTAATTGAAATGTAATGTTGAGCTTCATCCTGGGCTAGGATCCTAAACTATCCAATAGTATTGCTAGCCCAGGAAGTAACAAGCCAATCACTTCAAGCAAGCTCCCTGAGCGGGAACGAATGTGATTGGACCTTATCTCGGCAACCTCATAGGTTGATATGTGTACAGTGGGTGTGGCTACATTAGCCGGGAATGTTTAAAAGCAGGACAGCTGCAATGTGAAAGCGGTTCTGGCTATCAGATGTTGATCCGTGTTGGAGTTGTGTTCGAGTTGAGGAATAAAGCTGTGTCCTTGCTGAATCACTCTCCGACTGCTTTGTTAAGCGAGCGACTTAACTCTGGAGATGCCGGGGACTGAACCTGGGACCTTCCGCATGCCAAGCAGAGGCTCTATCTGTGGGCCACAGACCCTCTGCAGGAGGGATTTTACCAGCCCCGAGGACTGTTTTGTGCAATCCCACCAGTGCTTCCCGTGAGCCATTGCAATACTGCAGAGGGTTCTGAGGGAGTTGCGCCTGGCCAGCGGGTCCTTGGAAGCATCCATTCCCAGGGATTCTGGGGGGGGGGCAGTGGGCGGATGACTGGGGGGGGGGTCAGGCAGTCTCCAGGCGCCTCCTGTCCCACGGGAAGGCTCACCTGCTCTTTCAGCTGATTGACTTTGTCTTGGAGCAGCCTCTTCACAAGCCTCAGCTGCTGTTCAACGTCCATCATCCTTTTCTCCATGGTCTGTAGCAGCTCTTCGTGTGCACCCTGGAAAAGGAGCACACGCGCAGTGAATCGGGGACCAAAACGCATCCCCCCCTGTGGTACACGAAGGACTGTTCTTGCAATCTGAGCGTCCCTAGACAAGGCAGATGATGCACCCGCAGAACACCCCCCTAGGGACAGATTCTGAAACAGCTGCTGTGTTAGTCCATGGGTCCCCAACAGGGTGCCCGCGGGCACCATGGGACCTGCCAGCACATTTCCTGGTGCCCACCAAGTGTTTTTAGGAAGAGGACGGGGCCAGGTAGAGCTTCTGCCCAGCAAGGCTTCTGACTGGCCGTTGGATATTTTGGTTGGCCGTGCAGATTTTTATAAAATGTTGCTTTGGCGGCAGCTGCCACCACGACACAAGGATCTTTGTAGCGTGATTGAAGACAAGCTGCGGCAGCCACTTTGGGGCTGGCCCTGCCTCCTGTGGCAGCTGTTTCTTGCCTACCATTTTGTGGCTGCGCCAGTTTGGCGTAGTGGTTAAGTGTGCGGACTCTAATCTGGGAGAACCGGGTTTGATTCCCCACTCCTCCACTTGCACCTGCTGATGTGACCTTGGGTCAGTCACAAGCTCTGGCACAGCTGTCCTTGAAAAAGAGCAGTTTGTGTCAAGAGCTCTCTCAGCCCCACCCACCTCACAGGGTGTCTGTTGTGGGGAGGGGGAGGGAAAGGAGTTTGTAAGCCGCTCTGAGACTCCAAGTGAAGGGCGGGGTATAAATCCAATCTCCTCCTCCTCCTCCTCCTCCTCCTCCTCCTCCTCCTCCTCTTCTTCTTCTTCTTCTTCTTCTTCTTCTTCTTCTTCTTCTTCTTCTTCTTCTTCTTCTTCTTCTTCTTCTTCTTCTTCTTCTGTTGCCCGGTCCCCTCCTTGCTCCAGCTGGGGGATTTGGTGGGGGGATTCTGGGGTGGGTGGGGCCACCCCATGCCCCGCCCCCAAGTGTGACCACCCTCGGCCACCCCTCTCCCTCCCCTCCTGCCGGATTTAAAGGGCTTCAGCTGGTCATTGGGGACCATGTGGCCCGCTGATCAGCTGGAGGGCCCTTTATATCTAGCAGGAGGGAGAGGGGCGATCGTGGGCCACGCGCTCTGCTGGCAAAAAGACTCTTTGCAAGTGGGGTGGGGACTGTGGCGCACAGGACCAACGTTCCCTCTCAGCTGTGGAGTCTTCTGAGCCAAAATCCTACTTTGTGAGCTCCTGGCATTCAAGTTGTGAGCGGGCGATTTGGCTCCTGCATAAATTAGTTTGCTCTGGAGCCCCATCCTTCCTGAGCGAAGACAAAAACCTGTGAGCCGGGGGCTGAAAAAACGGTGTGCTAGCTCACACTAACTCAGCTTAGAGGGAACACTGCACAGGACTGATTTTGCCCTCTTCATACACCCACATTGCTTTAGAAGAGGCTCATCTGATTGTTGAGCACAGTTTGGATAAACGTTCTAATAAAAATCACCTTTTTTTTTTAATTGGCAGACATTATTTTTGGGGAAAATTAATTCAAATTTGAAAATGATTTTTTTTCTTCCAGGCGAGAGGGGTCGCAATGGGCAGTAGCTTTGCGCTCAGTGTAGCTAACCTCTTTATGGCCAAATTAGAGAGCGACCTGATTTGCAATAGGGCGATGAATCCATATTTTGACCTCATAATTATTTACAAGTGATACATAGATGATCTGTTTTTGGTTCTTAGAAACAATGAGTTAACGGAACAGCTAGCCGATAGGGTGCCTGGTAGGCATTCCCCTCCCCAATACTATGTGTGGCCCTTGTTAGAAGTGTAAATTGTACTATGTAAACCGCTCAGAGCCCTTCGGGGGTGAGCGGTGTAAAAATCGAAAGTTAAATAAATAAACTTTATTTGGACGGCTTCAAAAGGGAATTAGGTAAGCATATGGAGCAGAGGTCCATCAGTGGCTATTAGCCACAAGGTATAGATAGGGACTCTGGGGCAAGCGATGCTCTGTCTTCTTGGTGCTTGGGGGAGCCAACAGTGGGAGGGCTTTTAATGTCCTGGCCCCACTGCTGGACCTCCTGATGGCCCCTGGTATTTCTGGCCACTGTGTGACACAGAGTGTTGGACTGGATGGGCCTTTGGCCTGAACCAACATTGGCGTCTCTTATGTTCTTATGTTAAATAAATAAATAAATAAATTTTTGGAGTGGTTAAATGGCATCCATAGCAGCATTAAGTTCTCAGGCAGGGTGGAAAGGGATGCGGATTATTTTCTACGATATGACTGTTTATTACCATGCAATTAATAACAAATTAGCTATGAAAATTTGCAAGAAGGAAACTGATATTATCAGTCATTCCGTCCTATGCATTTAAAGAAAAATCCTCCATATGGACGGTTCCTAAGAGTTAAAAGAAATTCAGCGCAGTATAGTCACTATGTTAAGGATTGCAATTGTATGGCATATGACTTTAAAATAAGGGACTACCCTCAGGGAGTCATAGAACAGGCAAGGGATCGAGTGGAGGGAGTAGATCGAACCAGTTTATTTGGTCAGTGGGATAGGATGAATTAAGACAGAATAACTGGTGCGTTTGATTTTACTCCTTTTTCCAACGTGATCCGCAGGATGGTTCTGAAGCACTGGCATCTATTGAGTGAAGTACTCGGCTGCAGCATGTCGCCTTTTATAGGTTTTAGACAGGCCGAGAATATTAAGGACCTGGTGTGAAGAAAATGCTTTCTTAATTGCAGATGTTTGTCTAACCCTTGGTAAAAGGTAAAGGTTCCCTTGCTCGAAAGCCAGTCGAGTCCGACTCTAGGGTTGCAGTGCTCATCTCCGTTTCAAAGCCGAAGAGCCAGCGCTGTCCGAAGACATTTCCGTGGTCATGTGGCCGGCATGACTAAACACCAAAGCACACAGAACGCTGTTACCTTCCCACCAAAGTGGTACCTATTTATCTACTTGCAATTTCATGCTTTCGAACTGCTAGGTTGGCAGGAGCTGGAACTAGAGACCGGAGCTCACTCCGTCATGCGGCACACTCGGGTCTCGAACTGCTGAACTACTGACCTTCCACAGCCTGCAGTTCAGCGTCTTAACCACTTGAGCCACCGCAGCTCCGTAACCCTTGGTACAGGGCCTGTAATAAAACCTTCCTTAGTGACAAACAACTGAATCTTCTCCCTAGAAATAGAGATGGTGCGGAGCAGCACTTAGTGACCTTGGAGAGTTGCTCACAGCTGTGGCGATAAGAAAGGTCTTGGTGCCGACCATTAGGCACATTCCAACCAATTAACCCTGCAACACCTGCATGTAGGAGGACCGGAGATTATGCTGCAGTGTAACTTTTGAATTCCCCCTCCCTGCTTAATTATTATGGGCTGTCATGAGCATTATAGGTTGTTGTGTGCATGGCAACCTGAAAAGTTGACATCACTTTTCTGGGCCCTCATTGGGTAAGGCCGACCCAGTGAGAGACCATTTTTTCCTATAAGGTAACCTCTAGCTCAGTTATGAGCAGTGTTCCCTCTAAGCTGTGGAGTCTTGTGAGCAAAAATTCTCCGTTGTGAGATACTGGCATTTTTTATGCCAATAAAAGGTATTTGTTGTTGTTGTTGATACTGGCATTAAAGTTGGCAGCGAGCAATTTGGCTATTGCATAAATTAGTTTGATCTGGAGCCATCCTTCCTGAGCTAAGACAAAAATGTGTGAGCCGGAGGCTAAAGAACCGTGAGCTAGCTCACACTAACTCAGCTTAGAGGGAACACTGGTTATGAGAGCCTGGGTCTCTGACTGCTGAGCATGGTATGGTCCAGTAGTTCAGTACCCAACTATGGCGTTCCAGTTTGCTTGTGCTTGGATGGGCTAAGAGATGACTAACTTGTATGCTGACCAACTGCAACTCTGTCCTTGGGAGAGGTAATGCTGAATTGTAATCTCTTGTCTCGGTTAGGCTGGATAAGCTAAGCATTATTGTTTTTCCCCTGCACAGTCTGTCTTGTGTTCCTTGCACCTCAATAATCTAAAATATATTTTGATATTTTGTGTGTTACTTGTGTTACCAAGTAAGATTGCAGTCTTCAAGTATCTGAAGGGCTGTAGGGATGGAGCAGATCTATTCTCTCTTGCTCCGGATTGCAAGACTAGGTCTAATGGGTGGGAATCACAAGGGAGTCGTTACCGGCTAAACATCAGGAGAAACTTCCTAACTGTAAGAGTGGTTGAGCAGTGGAACAGTCTGCCTCGGGAGGTGGTGGGTGCTCCTTCGCTGGACGTTTTCAAGTGGAGGCTGGATGACCCTCTTTCGGGTATGTTGTAGGCAATGCTCCCTCTAAGGTGTGGAGTCTTGTGAGCAAAAACTCTACTTTGTGAGCTACTGGCATTAAAGTTGTGAGCGAACGATTTGGCTACTGCATAAATTAATTTGCTCTGGAGCCATCCTTCCTGAGAGAAGACAAAAGTGTGTGAGCCCAAGGCTAAAAAGCTGTGAGCTAGCTCACACTAACTCAGCTTAGAGGGAACAGTGGTTGTAGGCAATGTTCTCTCTAAGCTGTGGAGTCTTGTGAGCAAAAATTCTACTTTGTGAGCTACTGGCATTAGAGTTGTGAGCCAGCGATTTGGCTGCTGCATAAATTAGCTTGCTCTAGAGCCATGTTTCCTGAGCTAAGACAAAAATCTGTGAACCAGAGGATAAAAAACTGTGAGCTAGCTCACACTAACTCAGCTTAGAGGGAACAGTAGTTGTAGGTATGTAGGGCTATCTTTTGGCTATACTCCTGCAGAGTGCAGGGGGTTGGGCTAGATGACCTGCAAGGTCCCTTCCCACTCTAACATTCTATGATTCTATAAGTCTCAAAGCCTAAACCCTGTTTGCCTAGACTTTTTTGACCACTCTCTACCAGAAAGCTTTTGTTTATTTTTGACTTTTGAACTGCAGCTCCATTCTGCAGACTTGTTTTGTTGTATAAGTTCCAGAACCAGAGAGGAGCTCTTTCTCCTGGGCTGTTGGGAACTGTTTAACAAGGGGCCTGGTGGCAGAACTACCTAG